AAGATGGATGAGGGATTAGGGTGATAGTCCCCCTTAAGTAGATAGAATATGGCTTTGGGTATATTATAATAAGATCCCCATATACCCCATAATCTATCTACTTAAGGGGGGCTAGAGGGCTTAGGATTCCGAGCCTCAGATCTTCAAGACTAACCAGGCGCTTCCAAATTGGCAGTTGGCTTCCACGACGGGAATGTACCAAAGAATGATAGTAGTTTCAATTGTATTTTCCACTATCCCTATATAACCCCAAAATACTACAGTAGCTTCCATTTTCTTTTCCATTATCCCAATATAACCCCAATATATACGTTTGAAGTTGCTTTAGTGTGCTTATCAAGGACCCGAATCCAGCCTGCAGATCAAGATTCTTGATGATCACCTGGCACTCTTGAGGAGTTTGGGTATATAGGGAATACAGGTACTCATTGGGGTAATATTAGGGTTATATTAGGGTCATATGGAGGACAATGGAAAATGACATGGAAACTACTATTTAGGGTTTAGGGCTCCATTGGTCTCCATCATCATAGGGTGCTACGCACAACAGCTTTTGACCCGAGCAGGCCTCGGCACTTGCTTAGTCCTTCATGGAAGTGGCTGTTAGTGGCAATGGAGGTATGCCTGCTTACCGCCCCCAATCATCTCTGTGTCCATCTTCTTTTCCATACTTGGACTTCGTCACCCAAAAAACTCTACATCATTTGGACATGATTGATTCTGTGGAGGTTTGTAGTTTCGCGTGGCTCGTGCCGTGAACATTGAAGATGAAGTTTCGGGGTTCGTGCCTTCAATGTTGAAGATGAAGGTGATGCCGCTGGCACATCCTACACTAGCACTGACTCATCCCTTCACGAAGTGCTCAAAAAAACATGTCTCCAAGTCATTTGTCGCAAGCACAGCAGCAGAAAGGATGCTAAATGTCACCAGGCCCTCCTGTCGCATCCCAACTGGGAGTTGGCGGACGTAAGGGGGCATAAGTTCAAGGTTCTGCTCCTGAAGATACACTAGATCCACCTATGCCCCTCTTGAATTGAGTACGAGTCTCATGTTCCCAATCCTTCCCTCGAACCCTGTCGCTCGCACATATGTTGCAATCACAATCATGGACAGTAAAAACAGTTCAAACACGCGCAGGCAGCAGAGATTCAATTCATCCTCCAGCTTGTAGCATTGTATAATAGGGGGGAATATTTGTTATAAAGGGGATTCACATGGCTATCACAGGGGAGAAAATTTGGGTGTTGAGGTGATGGTCCATGCCTCGTCCTCCACTGCTGCCGGTTGCTCAGTACCTTCAGCAGCCAGTCTTTTCCCACAAGTTGTTAGACATGCGTACAAAGATGAATTAAGGGTTCCATTAGAGGGGTTGTAGGGTCTATGTGGGGTTGTATAGGGATATGTAAAGGAGAGCATAGAGATGCAGCTCATAGGAGAGGGTAAGAGGGATTTTCTAAGAAGGCTTAAGCGCAGAGTACCCGTGACTCTCAGTTCACTCCGGGTCCCTTTACCAGTCTACAAGCTTCAGGATGCCAACTCTCTGTGGTGTGGATGCGGCTTAGGGTTTAATAGTAAACGATTGAGCCGACAAACTAAAAGTAAAACCTAAGCCGCCTAAGCTCAGCACAATCTGACTGTGGCAGATGCGCGGCCGAAAAGTCCTACAAGCATTCCTAAGAGTATGTGCTCTCGCTGCTCCAGAGTCCCTCAAAAGTGACGCTCGCCAATTTCTGCGGCACAAAGCCCGTCCTGTCCCAAACACCATACTCTCTTTAGTCGTCTTCAAAAATGAACTCCGGTGCTCCTAGCAACCCAAAACTGCTAGGAACGCACGCCCAACCTTTGCATCTTACATCTGCTTTGAGGAGACTCAATGTGCTCACGGATGACTTTCGACCCTAAGCCCCTAAACTTGAAATCGCGCAAAACCGGGCAGCTTCCGAGGTATTATGAAGGAAGTATTGTAAAACCTATTTTCAGGTAAGTCTGCAATGCTAGGTAAAGAGGGTTTCCTAAGCAAGTGGGCCCTGGGGCGAATGGGGATTGCGACGGATGGATCATGGGGGGGTCGCCCGTAAGTTGAGAAACTTCCGCCTACAGCATTCCCTGGGATCCCTTGGGCCACCTGCTTTGAGAAACTCCCACATGGAGAGTCAAGGGGACTTAGTAAGTAGGTTAAGAACCTCTATAACCCATGTAGTAATCCTAATTATCCCCATTCTTAACCTACTTACTACGTCCCCCTGACCCTCCAAGCACCTAAAAAATCCCGAAGCAATCTGAGCCTTGCGTCTGCCTTCGGGACGGCCGTGTCCTTGGTACAGGGTCTGTATGGTTGGGGTTCAAATCTTAGGATCGAGGTGAAGGGCTTGAACTCAAACGCTTTCGGACTTACTTGAGGGTCAGGGTTCAGATTCAGGCTGTACTTGCCTTTGGTTAGCTGGGAATGAAGGAATGGATCCTTATGGTAGTCCCCATACAGCCCACTATAATGGTTTCCATTTTCTTTTCCATTCCTTCATTCCCAGCTAAGCAATGATTCTTAGTAGTCACCCTAAACCCTACTAATCCCTAAACCCTATATATCCCAATAGAACCCCTATATCGGGTTTTGGGTCGGGCGCTTAGGATGTAAGTTTCTGGGATTCACACCCTTCCTTCTGGAACCTGCGAAATAAACAGAGGAGGTCAAGGTCCATCTGCCCAGCGCGAACTCGAAGGATGAAGTTAGGGGTTAGGGTTTGGGGTTTAGGGTTAAGGGTTTTGGGGGCTGAGAGATTTTAGCCTTGGCTTGATCTTGGAGGGCAGAGTAGCTTCAACATGCAAGGATCCATAGCTGTGCTGTTGCTATCTGAGTTATAGTCTGAACTTCCTAAGGGGGGCTTTATAGGAATTTTCTAGGGTTCCTACTATAGGGCTTATTGAAGGGAAAAATAGGGGCTCAGACTATAGCTCATATTTTCAATCACGACACCTACGGCAAGTGGGACAAGCATGCCTTCACATCATGATACACGCATGTTCCTACCTTGGAGGTTCGGCAACACAAAGCTGATCCGGGAAGCCAATTCCCCGAATACAAAATTACCAAACCTCATCCGAATCCCAGGCACAAAGTGCGAAGCAAAAAAAGGCTTAGGGTTTAGGGTTGACGCTAAACCCTAACGCCTAAATCCTAAACCCTAAATCTAAGTATGGTTTCTGTCAAACCCTTCAGGCCAAAACCCTGGGCCCAACAAGCAATCCGCCAAACCCTCAAGCCTGAACCCTGAATCCTAGATCCTGAACCGCCCGAACTCTGCATCCTAAACCCCTGACCTCCTAAACCTGATTGATCCCTTCCGCCTGATCATGAAACGCTCCACCATGAATATCTGTTTTTACTCAGGTGGGGTTTATAAAGCCAGGAGAGGAGGATTACGTGAGCCTCGTGATTCTGTGATGATGCTGGGATCCCCCACCGGGCTAGCCATGAGAACGGGGGACCGAGGACCTGACAAGCTTTAGAAGGTGTTTTCTGAATTTAGTCCCCATTAAGTAGATAGAATATGGGGTATATGGGATCTTATTACAATATAGCCAAAGCCATATTCTATCTACTTAGCGGGACTAAAGGGTTTAGGGTTTAGGTGCTTGGAGATTTAGGGGCTAAGGTTTTGGGGAGTCTTTTGGGTTTCTGCTGTTGAGGTACCAATGTTGAGATGCATCACGAGATGGGCTCCCCAAACGCAGAACCCAGGTGTAGAAACCTACATACTAGCCCATGCTTGTTCCTTCTCATCCTTATATAACTATATCGTACGTGCCCCTTGACCCCATTCTGATCATTCAGGCCCCTACCTTGAAACTTCTGAAGACTGTGACCGGCTCAGAGGAAAGCACAGACCCCTTCACTTGAAAATCCCATATCCACCAAAGGCTACTTGGAGGGTCAGGGGGACTTCGTAACTAGGTTAAGATTGGGGATAACTAGGGTTACAATATGGGTTATAGGGGTTATAACCCTACTTGCTATGTCCCCCCAGACCCTCCAAGTAAGCCCCGAAAGTTGAGGGAACTCCCCCCAAAAGATATCGCAGTTCCTCCTGAAACTGGCCTTTGGTTAGCTAGGAATGAAGCAATGGATCCTTATAGTAGTCCCCATACAACCCGCTATAGTAGTTTCCACGTTGTTTTCCGTTCCTTCATTTCCAGCTAGCCAGAGGCCAGGAAGTGGAGGCCTTTTTCAAGAGTGTGTAACGCATTGCCGCAGAAGGCAAAGAGCAAGGCGATCAAAAAGGAACGTGTCAGCTTTGGGACGTCTTTCACTTCTATAGGTCTATAGGGTTTAGGGATTCGGGTTTTGGCTTTAGGGTTCAGTCGTGTGTGCCATTTGTTTGGGACAGATGGAACGCACATGCTCATAGTGTGCTATAATGTCGGCAATGCTCACAACTTAGAACGACAGTTTTGCTGCGAAGTGAGACAACATCGGCTATGAAGGGCTACTGGAAGCAGCGCAATTTCAGCGACTGCACCCCGATTGGAGGAAGCATGATAGAATCACAAACTGGCCTGTGGCCCTGGATTGCCCCACCAAAGAAGCCAAGAACCCCTGGATCAACGATACTTATTTGTAGTGCAGGGAGAAATGCAGCCCTCAGTAATTCCTACTTGATCTCCCCTAGTATAAAAAAATCTGTCCAAACTTTTTCTCCAATCCTGATCCTTCATCTATCAAATTCAGGGATCATTCTCATTATCTCAAGTCTATTCCTCAAGCGGCGGGCTCTGAGGCTCCTCTCTTGGTAATTTAGGCATTCCAGTGCAAGATCTCCCCCAGATTCAAAGGCATTGCAGGGATGGAGTGAAACCCAACATGACAGTAAGAATAGTAGTACTAATAGTAGTAATAATAATAATCATAATTTTCCCTAATAGTAATAAAAGTAGTAGTCATAATAATGGGCTGCATTCTGCAATTGCAGCTCATTAGAGCTAGGATTCTTTGCTTTCCACGTTCAGGGACTGTCTCTGAGGTCCATCTCCATGCATATGTACTCTACGCCGTTCTTGAGGAATGTGGCTCCACCGTCCGCAGGCTGCATACCTCTCTTTTCGTAGAACCCAGCCTGGTTGGAGCGGGCATTGCACCACAAGCGATGCACTCCTTGTTGCTGTGCTTGGTCCATCACATGCTTCAGGAGTATAGAGCCCAGCCCTTGCCCCTGGCACTCCAAAGCAGTAGCAAACTTCCTGAACTGAGCCTCGCGGCCATCACCATCCACAAACACCGAGATCACAGACACAAGTTCACCACGCCGTCGCATTCCCCAGTGCTTCCCGTGCGGGTCGCAATCGAGAGCTGCGAGGTCAGGTCTCCCGGGCCATAGCACAGCCTCACGCAACGGATAGGTCTCCTCGAATCCGAGCTCAACCACCTCCGCTTGGTTCGCATCCTCCATGCCTTTGTGCTCTCCACTCCTGGTGTCCGAAGCGCTTCAGAGCAGGATATTTCAGGGCGTCGCAATCATGGCCCAAGGGGAAGGCTCTTGCGGTACGGGCCTTAGTAGTGAGAAAAGAGTTTGGGGAACACCATGCTATCATTCCTTACATGAGTCACAGGGGGATGACCTTTCGTGATTTTCCCGTCTTTCACATTAATTATGACAGCTGAGCTGGCATGAATCTTGAACCATCATAAACAATATGCTCAGGCCCTTCGCTAAGACTTGCTAAGACAGCCCTCTACGCCTAAGACAACCCCCTACCGCTGAACCCCAGTCAAAGCACAAACCCTGAAGCCTAAACTACACTGCGCTGCGGATCAAAGCTGCAGCCGCTCTCTTCAGGACTTCTTAGGCTTTGGAGGAACAATGCCTGGGTTCTTCAACAGCTATGCGGGTTGCTCCCGAATATATGGTTCCTTTTCTGCATAGATGAAATATGAGGTACAAGGTCTTGGAAAGTATCCATATGTTTTAGCGGGTTTTCAGAATGGTGGTTCCATTTTGAACCGCATATTATACCGGGACGCAAGAACGGATCATGAATTTGCCAAACTACCATGCGCATGCAGGGTCCCTGGCAGATCTGAAATCAAGGGCCTGCTTCTGACGGGGAAGGCCTCGAACTTCTCAAAGCGAAGACACTCAAATCAGTGTAAGAAATGAACATTCTAAGTGCTACAGGGAAATGATCTACATCACAAGGAAATTTATGCTCCTGCCCCCAAGACTGCAGGCTTCGTCAGCTCATAAAATCAACCTCGAACTCAGTTGGCCTGCACCCTGGCGGCCTCAAATCAAACAATACTGTGAAAGGACTTTCATCGCCCCAAGCCCATTAACAAGGATCCTATAGCGAGCTAATTTCTAGGGGTTGGGCCCTCGGGCGAACCAAAACCCCCATACCCCGTCTAGACTCCCCAACCTCTGCGAGTAGATTTTCAGACCTGCTCAGGCGGAACCCCCCCCCCAAAGCGCACGCACTTCTTAAGGTTTGGGCTATGGGGATAAGACTAGGACTTTCCCAATTCAGGACCATACCGGGTGGTACTCTGAAGGCCCCAAAAGCTGTTTAAACAGGGCCGCCTGTATAATAACAAGCGATATGACATGTGACTAACTGACTAACTACCCCGCAGTGCCACTGAGATAGGCACTAACCTCTAAGCCCTAAACTCTTTCCCGCACCCCCGGTCGCCTCTGCAGAAGATCGGCCGATAGAGCCCTCAGCAGAGGGACAGCTCAAAGTATGGTCAAGTCTGCTAGGAGGGCTTCGGGTCTAGGGTTATCCTATCTCCTCCCTCTAGTACACCCCCCCACTTCCCAACAATCAAGACCCCAACATATCCATTATAATCGGTTATTTATGTCATTTTTGTTATTGTTGGGGAGGGGGTCTGTGCAAAGTTTGGGCCTGGTAGACGCCTTCGCAATCTTTAGGTCCTCCTTGTGTGAGGATGTCTGTAAGCCTTAGAGTTGAGATCGTACAAGGTCCCTTAGGAGGACCCCCCACCCTGTAATAGTGACTATAAGGGATAATAGGGATTAAATAAGGGTCCTCTTATATTCTCATTATACCACTATTACAGGGTGGGGGGTCCTCCTAAAAGGTCCCATACAAACGTACTCCACCTTCCAAAACGTACTCCACCTTCCAAAAAATAATGCAGCCTTCATGTTGCACTTTAGTAGTCCAAATAAGAAAAGCAACCTGACTAATAATAATAGAAATATTCAGAATAGAAAACATAATATTAATAATACTATTGATAATAGTAATGGTGTATGAAGTCATAATAACAAAAATAGCAACATGACTAACAGTAATATTCAAAACGAAAATCATAATATTAACAATAACAATAAAAATAGTAAGTATTAAGAATAGTAATGCTTTGACAAAAGCAACCTCAGCCTGGAAGCCCAAACTGTAGCAGCGCACTTTGCAGCTTCAGCTTCAAACATCAGTTCTGGGAGCAGTGTTCAAGGGTTTAGGGTTTAAGGGTTTAAGGGCTAAGGGTTTAAAAGGGTTTAGGGTTTAGGGTTTACGGGTTTAGGGTTTAAAGGGCTTAGGGTTGAAGGTTTTAGGGTTTAGGAATCCGCCCTTCAACTACCAAGGGTTATAGTAGATATGGATTTGGGTATACTGAAATACGGATGCTGGGAGAGAAAATGGAAACTACTCTAATGGGTGATTTAGGGAGAACGGAAAAGAAAGTGGAAACTACCATAATGGGTTATTTACGAGATGGAAACTACTACTTTATAGACGGGTATATATTTGGGTTATAACAGTAGGGCAAATACAATATATGGGCTGAAGCCCGAGAGTGTAGCAAGACAAGGTAGGCATCTGCTCTCCCCGTGGCAGGCTACAATTGGGGTTAGCAGGGAGTATGGGAATATATAGGGATTGTGTAGGGATACTGGAAAAGAAATTGGAAACTACTACTTTATAACATGGAACCACATCAATCTCTGGTACAGCATTATCGTAATCTTGCCTAGGGAATTCGAACTTGTCACGGGCAAGGCTCGACACGCACCTAGCATGTTCACCCTAATCTAACCCGTACGTCCGAGTCTGTCATGCTCTTGCTTCAAAGGACACGCTACGCAAGAACCCTCAAGACTGGCTCAGCAAGATTCATCCCCAATTGTTCTTTACCTAGCGCAACCCCACATCATCAGTTTCGGAAGCCATGAAGTGACATACCTAAAGATCAGCAAACATTGGATGGTAGGAACCACTCAAGATGCAGCCCTAGCGGGGAAAAAGGCGTCTGCAGGAAGCAGCATCTCACACCCTGAGGTTTAGGGTTTGGGGTTTAGGGATCCCCATAATAGTCTCTCCTGAAGGAACTAGGGAGGCTTTCAATAATCCTGTAGCATCTTGCTGAAAGTTCCCAGGTTTTTGGGAGCTGCCGTAATGAATGCCAGGGCTGGGACCAAGTCAGTGTCCAGCAGACCTGTCTGAGGCTCCGATGCATCTTAAAGACAATCCCGACTACTGACTTCGATAGATGGGAGTCTTCCAAAATTAGGGGTACTTTTTTGGGATCCCAATAAATGCGGATTTCAGCGTTGTTCATGTTACAAGTGTTAGTCATCGCATTTGTAGTGGTGGTCTTTGCATTCTTATTGTGATTGGCGGCTTCGGTGGTCGTGGTAGGATTACAAATTCAAATCGTAGAAAAATGGGAGGAACAGGAAATTAGCAGCAGCAGAAGCCGCGGCAGCAGTCGAAATCTAATGTGAGCACTAGTAGTAATTGTAGTTAGAGTCAGGGTACTAGGAGGAGGTATGACAGACTGACTTTTGTCAGGCCGACTTTCGAAACGTAAAGCCCTTTACAAGACGTACTACTTGCTGCATGACGGCGCATGAGCAGAGGCTGAATTTAGAGATTACCTGCAGATCCCTTTGAAAGCTGCCCGCTGAGCCCCCCATACCACTAAGATCTGTCGCATCAGCATACCACATGCACGGGGCGCACCCAAGGGCAATAATAATAATAATAGTAACAATAATAATAATAATAGTCGTGTCCATGTCATTTTCCATCTTATTTTCCATTTGATTCTCCCTTATTGGGTAATATCCCCATATAACCCTAGTTTGAAGTTGCAAGCCTGCTTGTGCTTAAGATTGCAAGGCTGTGCCCTCAAATCACGCATGCATCCGAAACCTTGTTGATCCAACCATCTACTCCAGGGGATGCTAAGCATTTTCAAGGGCTTTCCTAAAAAAGGACCATATTCGGTTTAGGGTTTAGGGATTTAGGGTTTAGGGTTTAGGGTTTAGGGTAGTTTCCCAAAATAAAGGGATCCAATATAGAATCCCAAATACTATAACCCTTACTTTAGGGACCCCCAATGAGGTACCCCTAATTTTGGAAAACCCTCAGCTATTCTTGGCAGATCATGTTGTAGTATGATATAACCCCTCTTAAGTAGATAGAATATGGGGTATATGGGATTCTTATTGTAATAGAGCCAAAGCTGTATTATATCTACTTAAGGGGGACTATACCCTAGATCCTTCAACCCTAAACCCCATGTTCTACCTATTTAAGGGGGACTATAACAACAGTCGTGGCAGCCCTCAGGATGTAGGCCCCAAAAGCTCGCCTCCACCCCTGCACTCCCCCAGGCAAACATGGAACCAGAAAGGGAAACGAAAAGATAGGCTTAGGGTTTAGGGTTTAGGGTAGATAGCAGGGTTTTTAAGAAAAGGTCCGTTTAGGGCTTCATGTCCTTCAATCGGAGAAAGAAACCACATCAAATGCTGTGAACCGCCTGATCAGCGCTCCTTTTCTTACTGGAGGTTAGTAGGGAATACAGGATCACAATTCAATCCCTGTATAGTCCCCACTAACCCCCAGTAAGATTTTTTTATGCTTTGGGATAGCCGCCATTGTTGGCGTTTCTCAGGGCAGCCATGATCTCGTCGACTACACGCCTCCCTGAGAGCAAAGCTCCATGGACAGTAGCTGGATACCTGGCGCCAGGAAAAAAGGGAAGTATTGTTGTTATTACTGCCATTATTGTTACAACTGTTCTTATAATTAGTAGAGCTACTATTTCAATACTTTTATTATGGTTCTTACAATTAATGCTCTTATCATTGCTAGTTAAGTTGAAAGCTCGGGCACAACTCTTGTAAAAGATAACATGGCACCGTCTGGGTGATTGCTACGCGTTACTTTTGACAACGGCTTCCCTGAAACCTTAGAAAGATGCCACCTGATCTTCTAAAAACAACTGTGGAATTCAGTGGATACCACGGTGGTTACTAAAACTCCTGCATGACCCTAGGTACTTTATACCTTGGGAATTATGGTACTTTAGTATACTTAGGGCATGCAGGACTTTTAGCATCAACAATAAGAAGGTCGCTTGAAGTGCAAGAGTAACCGTCAATCTAAGCCGGACCCCTGGCTCAAAAAAGGGTTTACGGTTCGGGGCTTAGGGAAAACAACTCATGCAGCCAAATCAAGTAATGTAGACCCCTGATTGATAAACCCCTTCCACTTAATCGGGAGTATAATAGGGATCCTAATATTGAGGCCCTTACAATGAGGGGGTTTATGAATCACGGGTCTACATTAAGCCCGTGCACATACCCACGCAATATCCAAAACCTTGTTCATTACGGTTGTCATTGTACGCAAACCCTTTCCTGATTATTATGTAGTGAAACCAGCACAGAAGCACCGTGATGATGATGATGATGATGATGTTGCTCAAGGGTGTTGTAACTATGCCTGCTGGAGACATAGCGCTCGACTCTCATCGTGATGCATAGTGCTAGTGCAACAACGACTAATGCAGTAATGCGATGATTCTGGTACTTCTCGCAAACATCAGCATGTGTTTAATTGGATTCTGCTGTCTACCAGCTTGGACCGTAGATGGCTTCAAAACCGCTTCCTTGACTCGATCCATATTCGTTCCTTGCTCATCTACTCCATATGGTGAGGCTGTCAAAGCCTCATTGTGGAGACCCAGAAACCCCAGGAGATCTGAAAACACCCAGGGCCCAGCAGCCCAGCAAACGATCGTGAGATTTTAGAACCAAAGGCTTTTAGATGTTGTGACTGTGACTTCATGTATGTGTCTTGCAAACTGCACTGCTCCATTCAACTAAAGATCTCCCTTTCCTGTTCTACCACTATGGGTGGCCTTGGTCTCAGAATACTCAAGATTCTGGATGCTGCCTAACAAGTTTTGGAACCTAAGTGCCTTGCAGAGCCCCGTGCTTCATTGAAATCCAAAAAAATTTTGTTGTTGCCTAGGTTCTTGTGAATTCGCTTCATGTAAACAAGGTGGCTGAGACTTTTCGACTCGTGTTCAGCTGTGGCTTAAAACTTTAAATATTCGATTGCCCTGCAACTGAACTCGCCTCTAAACAGCTGTAGCTAATCTTCCATCATTTGTCTCCTCCCTGAAGCTCCTCGAGTCACCCTTGAAGCCACCCAACTGGATAAGCCCCGTCTGCTTGCCGGTGGCTTGCTTTTCAGTTTTTAGCAGGAACTGACAATTGAAAGTGCTATATCATTGGAGAGTATACCAGCGCCTCTATAGGGATCCATTCGTCCATTTTCTACCCTAAGACCTGAGCCCCAAACCCTACAGTAGCTTCCAGTTGTCTTTTCAATTGCCAACTTTCGGACCCTCTACGCGCGATAGGAGGTTCCATCTTCCTTTCCACGCCCTAAGACCACAATATAACCATAATAACCCCTATATATCCCTACAGGACCCCTACATCCCTACATATCCCCACATATACCTAATATCTCTCTCTGGCTTTGCTGAGGGACCCTAAACAGTGGACATAGGGATCCCTTTTGTAGCTTATAAGAAATTGTCGTCCTTTCTCTATTCCCCAATAAGGGACACATGTCCATTAGTTATATGGGAAAT